TCAATTAAGACTCCAATTGATTCACTTCGTGGTTTGAAAAAGAAGTCATGGAAAATATGCTTCTCAGTGTGTGGTATAAGGCGTCCCTGTCACCCGCTGCAAATAGTCGCATTATGGTCTTGACCGGGGCAGGATCACCATCCTAACTTCATGGACAAGCAGCTACTTCAAGAGTTTGTGTTAGGAGATCGAAGCTGCTGACCATTATTCAGAAACCCGCACCTGCGTGATGGCAACTTTAACGACAGCTTTATTCTGTAAATAAAGGTTTCAAGTCAAAACAAGCTTCCTACATCTCAAACTTGGCAGCCTGCTGTGGGCGTCCACTTGATTTTTAACGACTGTATATTTTGACAATTTTTCTTCCTTTTTTTTTATTTCCTTTTCTTATTGAGGGGGGGGGGGGGAGGAGGGGGGTTTAAAAATTAAAATCTTGACGGCAGTGGTAGGAGCATTCAACGGCATAACATCCGATCATTTCCTCATTATAAAACTTACAAAACGGAAATCCGTACACGGAATAACATGTGGCCCCGCGGGCGCGCGCGTGCTCAGTGGGATTGGTAACAGTCAGACACGTTCGTACGTAACGAGTTGCATCTGCCTAGTTACTTTTTTCGGTAACGAGAAACCTATTTAGTTACTTTTTTAGCAAAGGAACGGGTAGCGTACTTAGTTACTTGTAAGGCCAAGTAACGGGTAACTGTAATTCATCACTTTTCAAAAGGGACGTGTACAACACCGTTTAAACAGCCTTTTTTTCACTTCAAACCGGACTATGCGTCTATTGCGACAGAAACAGATGGGCGACCTGAAAAAGCAACTAAACAGTATGACAGCATAGCAACATTTATAGCCGAACACGTCAGTCGAACTCTACAGCCGGGGGTAGGGTGACCACCCCACCCGCGAGGAGCGGGACTGTCCCGCATTGAGGGCTCGTAACCCGCGTCCCGCAAGAGATTCCAAAATCTTCAAAATGTCCCGCCTTTCACATTGTCGTAGCATTCACTCGCAAATGATGGCGCTTAAGAACAACGGGGAACCGCGGAGGTCGATGATAAATGTGTGAATCTCGATGGTATCTCATTTTCTTGCCAAGCACTGCGGGAAGCAACCGTCGTTCTGCAGGAGTCTGACGCGCATGCGCCGTTGTGCCTCTCCCCTTGATGGCAAAGCATTGCAAGCGAAAATTGCTCCCCAAAATTTGAAAAATAAACTTTTGTAATTATTTTCACATCATATTATATCATGCGAAAGGGTTTTTGCAGAAAGTTTCTTTTTTTTTTTTTTAGTGAAGACGCCACACAAGGCAAAAAACCTGCAACTCACAACGTTAAAAAAACAACAACATAAGGTTCAATTTTTGTGTACGAGCATTTTAGTATTAGAGTAAGTATCGACAGGAAACAGTAAGCAGAAAAATATTTACTGTTTCCTAATTTCCTTTGATGCATTGGGGTTTGGTGCAGTCGATTTTTATATTTTCAACTTCGAAAAATAAAATATTTACCATTACAATTAAACAAAAATATATCACTGTGAGCGAAACTTATCTTAGTTTAATTGCCGCGTACAATTTTGTACAATTTTCAGGTGCATAATACGTTTTGGGACAGCACAGGATTTCGGGGTGCGCGCGTTGGTGAATTTCCTTTACTACTTATTTCTTGAGTCGTAAAAATACCGCCCCCCCCCCCCCCCCCCTTCGGGTCAGAGTGTCCCGCATTTCGCCGGCAGGAAGGTGGTCACCCTAGCCGGGGGTGTCCTTCACCCATCGAACACAATAAGGTTCGCTGCTTGAACCTTCTAGAATCGTGTATACAGACCGAATGAAAACCCGGGGGTCGCCAACGCGGGAAGACGCATAACCCATTGTCAACTTCGAACTCAATGAGCAGAGAGAGAGCGGAATTCCAGATTCCCTAGCTCTTCCTGAAGCACAACACTGCCGTTCCTCCGAGCTCGTCAGTATAGAATAACTCTTCAGCGAATATTCTCAAGAAAGCCGGGAAACATAACTGACGAAAACTTCGAGAGGCAGCTACTGCTTAAGTGCAGCGACTACTGAAAAATAAAAAAAAAATAATAATAATAAACTATGAAACAAAAGCAGCCGTCAAAGTAACCGTTACCGTCGATACTAGCCCCGGTAGAGTATATATTTTAATTACGTTACCAGTGATTCACCTCGTGGGCGATTTTCGTCCTTGGACCAAAACCGTGCCCGGTACAAAACGTTTCGCTCGGATCAACGTTGCATACAGATTTTATTTCAATGGCGTTTTCATTGTACAGCCCAAAAATAAGCGAAACGAGTAAGGTCTTTATTTTCGCAATACGTTTTTTAACAGGTAGAAGATTGTATATTTCAATGTTAATTTTAAATGACATACCTCTTATACCCAGACAATTACCAACATCAAACGAAAGATAGTGTCTCGCGAGCGGCGAAATAATTTTATAGTACTTTGATTAGAGATTCGTGAACCGACGAACTTTAAACAAAAGGCAGTGAAAAGCATACGTCTAAACATGTTTTCCCCCTCTGCCACAACAAAAGTAGCTATAAAATCTGGTCAACCTTTTACATACAATTTTCGTAGGCACAGATGTAAGATTTATATGATAAAAATATGTCAGCACAAGGTGGTTTGTTTCATCACGCTCTTAGTATCAGACGGTCGTGCTGCTTTTCCAAAACATAATATAAAGCAAGTGCCCAGAAGCGCTGCCGGGTTAAATTGTAAGAAACGGTTTCACCGACAAACGCCTTAAAAACGCCTACACAAATGTTTTCTTTATCATTCGTCCAAGTCTAGTCAGTGCTATACAACATACAAGTAGAGAAGCACATATTAAAAGCTCGAGGTCACAGATCACACACCGCGGTTGATTGGCTTAAAATCCCTTGATACTTTTTGTTACAAGTAACGACAGTCAATACAAAGGACAAAGCACATACCGCTGGAACAAAATGGCGTCATTCAGTTCACTCTTCTACAGTAGCGCCGCCATTCGCTTCCTAACACCTGCACCGTCACGCAGTCACGCAGTCACCACTTCAACGATCGTCGCTACTTATAGGAAACTCTTACCTAGGAATTTTAGATCGGCTTAGTCGCGTAGGCAGCTCACACTATAAAAGTGACGAATGCCATGGCGCTGCATTTCTGTTACTCCTTGATTTAGCCTATTAGCTTGTAGCCTTCATTGAGCTCGGACTCCAAATGAGAAAGGGTGTTGCGAGAACATCCAACTAAAATACCTAGAGAATTCTACGCCAAAGCTCGATATTTCTCATCTTATCTCATCGGCTTAACTTTGTGCGAGTATCCGGCCGATTATCTGCTCCTTTTTTATCTACTTCTGGGGTTCCTCAAGGCAGTAAACTTGGTCCTCTGCCGTTTTTGGTTTTTGTAAATGATCTAACTTCCTGCATCAAACACACGCGGTTTTTGTTATTTGCTGATGATATTAAGTTGTTTACAGCGGTTAAAACGGTTGACGATTGTAAATGTCTTCAGCGCGATATAGATTCTATTTCGGCGTGGTGTTTTTCAAATGACCTACTCTTAAATGAGTCAAAGACGAAAGTTATGTTCTTTTCTAGGAAGCGTGAAATTCTGAGTTTTCCCTATGTATTAGATTCCACCAATATTACTCGCGTTGAGGTCATTCGTGATCTAGGCGTTTTTATGGATCCTGCAATTAATTTCAACCATCACGTGACCACAATTACGAATGCTTCCTTCGAGTGCTGGGAGCCATTACACGAGTGACACGCGATTTTTCTAACCCACTTTGAATTTTACTTTTGTTTTCTTCACTGGTGCGTAGTCGTGTTGAATATGCCTCAGTTGTCTGGAATTGTATTGGAGTGACAAATTCAGGTTTAATTGAGAGTGTTCAACGTAGGTTTTTTCGTGTTTTGTTTGATCGTTATTTTCAACCGAATTATATCTATAGTCATGAGAGGATTTGTGAACTCGTGAAGTTAGACTCGTTGCACAACAGGAGACCAATTCGTGAACTGACATACTTGTATAAGATTGTAAATGGTATAATTGACTCCCCAGAGCTACTCAGCCACATCTATTTGCACGTTCCTCGTCAGTCTTGTAGACTTTATACTTTGTTTTATCCTATCGACTTTTATCATGCTCCACCCATAACACGCCTACAATTGGCTTATAACCATTTAGAACAGATTTGTGCGAATGCTAGCCTTGATATATTTGATGAAAAGCGTAAATTTCGACAGTGTGTTGAGGCTATTGTTCTTTCCTAACGTTTCGCTTTTATCCTGTTTAGCGTTGTATTTCTGAAGGAATAAGCGCACCACTAAGGAGGCGTCAAGCTGTTGGTAGGTCACTGAAAAAAAAAAAAAAATAACGTTTCGCTGTCTGGATTATGGAACAAGAAATCTCGATTCTCTCTGGCTTTCCGGTTTTCAAACTGGATTTCAGGTTTCCAATACATTTCCAATTAGACTTCTTGTTTCATAATCCAAATGGCGAAAAGTTCTATTGGGTTTTGGGTAAGGAAGAGGAGCCCTTCGGTGCTTCTTTCAACTAGCGACACTCTTTCAAGCGCCGACTGCGTGACGGTGCAGGTTTTAGAAAGCGAATGGCGGCGCACAACAGAGGAGTGAACGTAATGACACCATTTAGTTTCAGCGGAATGTGCTTCGTCATTCGTATTTGTTGTCCTTACTTGTACAACAGAGTATAGAGGGAGTTTAGACTCAACTATAGGGAGCGCTAAGTCCACTAGACTTCCCACAGAACTCGGTGTTTACCCAATACAGGACATATGTAGGATTAATTCGTTTCGTCGTCAACATCAAGTGAGCGCGCGGCGTAGATTGTACAAGAGCGCTGCGTCACCGTTCGACTAGGATTCGTGTTCTATTGTCGCTCCTCTGATGAAGCACTAGCTCCAGCCAACCGTCGTCGCAGCGCTCAACTACGTCACTCGAGCGCTTCGTCAAAAACACATACAAATAAATCACGTTCTTATTGTCCCCACGGAATTATTTTTCAAGTTACCCGCTATCGGGGCACAAGGAATTGAATGCACACTCCGTGCATTCAATTCAGGAACATACAAAAGGATTGACATCCCCGAAGACATTCATCTCGTAAAGGCACGCCACGACGATATACGACGAGTAAAGAAGCAGACAGAGGATTCCGATTTTGTAGTCCAGTTCCCAACGGAAGCCAAGTAGCGACAAGTAAAGGACGACTACGAGGGTCAACAAGACGGCGGCGTTGAAGCTAACTCCAGCGCTGTCGAAGAACACTTTGTGCTCGGCAGAGAAGAAGGCCGCCTTGACTAGCCAAGGAGCGCCCAGGCAGAACAGGATGTCGAATACGTTGCTCCCCAGAAGATTGCAGATTGCCATGTTGCCCAGACCTGTAAGCATGTTGAAAAATGCGAGGGGCTAAGCACAAACAGAGCAGTAAATTGTTTCCCATACCAGGACAACCTCCCATACCTCCACGCAACGCTATCACGCTAGAATGGTGCCAAATCAGCGATTATAACCCAAGCCCGACGAATTCGTTGGACACGCGGCCCCAGCAGAACGCTGACTCAGCACTCGTGTTCGACTTGTGTCTGCGCTTAATCCCACAGTGATGAAGTCCATTTTCTAGTGCACCGACTTTTATTATTCTAGGTGTTGTGGTTTATACTCGACGACGAGAACGCCGATCTGCGATCGACGAACGTTTATATTCGCGTCTTAAGCGGCCTAGAGGGAACGCCACTATTGGGCCAATATGGCGGTCTAATAGAGGTCACGCCGTGCCATTAGCCAGCTCTACGCGCAACGTTGGGGCATGAGCGAACGAGCATTGGGCTTAAAATAGTTTTCCCCCGATTTTTATTCTCCATGTTTCGAACCTTGTTGGCGTAAACGAGCTAGAGGCTCGGCTTTCTTTGAGGAAGCGATGAAAGGACTGCCTACTGTCCTTCCACGGTGCTGATGAACGTTGATGAACGTGGAATGACTGGCTCAAGCGATTGCGTAGGTTGCGTGCAGAGCAACCTGGGAACAAGCTGATACCACAGTTAGGACAGAGTCACCGGGACAACTGTTCTATCGCGCACACCACCGTCAACATGTAATAACGTCACAATAGACCAGCAGAAATCGTGAAAGCCTTCTTCCGGACAGTTCAGCGTTTTTCCGCTAGGTGCCATTCGTTTTGCTATAGTCGCGAATATAGTCATTGCTGCACGTAAACTGACTGCACCTTGAATGACGAACTGATGTTAGCTCTTACTCCTCGACGCTAGATTTGAGTTCAAACGAGCTTATCGAGACAGATTTTGCAAATGCATGATGCGCTTTCTAGTAGCTTGAACCCTGCTTGTCCCTCATTGAGAATTACAAATTGTATTCCATTATTTCGAGAAGCTTTGATTTCTTAAAGGGGCCCTGCAATCATATTTTAGCGTCTACCTTTTTTGCGGTTTCCAGATCTCTAGGGGCTTGGGCAAGCCAGCGCGCATGGAAAGAACAAATATCAGTGCGTCATATTTTAACCGGACGACGCGAACACCTCCTCCACCTACAGGGGCGACCCACGGTGCCAAAAGCGTGCGATATGTGACGTCTCTGGTCCTGGCCTAACTACTGGTCAGAGCCGCTAGAAGCTACTTTTTAGTCGAAATACAAAACATAAGTGGCGTGAACCGTTTCAGTTATTTATGAAAGTAATTTTTGTCCAGTAGTTTAGATCAGAAAAGAAACAAATTCAGTTTATAAAATACGGAAACAAGAAATGACTCGTCGACATACCCGCCACCAAGCGGTGGAAAAGGCAGCGCATACTAGAAAGGGGTAGTGGGATCAGGCACCGACGAGCGGCAAGCGTAGAAAAGTTCCGGATGCACGCGGCGGCGCTGCGGTCGAGGATCCGACCGGTTCCGAGCGTTTCGAAGGCCTTAGGAGCAGGTTTGGCTTGCGGTTCGGTCATTTGGCGGTATGGAAGCGCGAAGTGGCTCCCGTCCTGAACTGATCTTCATCCCGTGTTTGCTGCTGTTTGTGGATAATGAAGTGTCGTGCCGAATTAGTGCTTAATCGCACAGCAAATGCAATGCCAGCCGCCCTGGCTGCCCGCTTCGTACAGCCTATTGAGAACATGCTTTAGTGGCGCACTCTTGAGCCGTCGACACGGAGTGCGGCAGCCATGAGCGCTCGCTGAGCTCACTACCCCTCCTCTATTTCACGGCCACTCAAGCGACCAAGGACGTCATGAAGGAGATTATTTTTTGCTTGTTTTTGTAATTTTAATTTGCCTATAACTTTTAAAATAAAGCGACATTCGAGAAAAGAAAAGTTTGATTAAGTTACTACGTTCAGTGAGTTCAGGTTCGGTCAAATTAAAAACAAGTAAAAAAGTCCTTCCAGGGCCCCTTTAAGCTGCGGTGACATGAATACGACCGTGGCGCGCCGCATCCAGAGAATGGGAATGGCTGCGTGCGATTGGTCGAAACCGGACTCTGTCTGATATTATCGGATCTATGAAAACAAGACAAAACAAATACCCTGATATAAGGGTATTATTTGTATCTATATATCTTTTTTTATCATTTGAATTTCAATTACTGCTACCGGTGGTTGTGAGCAATACATTATAAAAGAAAGGCTGTTTGTCTCGTTCACCTCACTCTTTACGGTGGGACAGCTACTGCAATCTACAAAGAACTAATATCAGATGATCAAACATGAAACTCGCTTTATTTATTTTTTTATGACTACTGGCTCCACTCAAGGAGCCATGGTAGCAGTGGGTACAAACATGTAAACACGATGCAAATTTATAAATGAAAACTCAATTAAATATAAATTCAACAGCAGATACAAAATTAGCAACAGTTGTGTTGACGACGACATCATTTGGTAATTCGTTCCATTCTTGAATTGCCCGAGGGAAGAAAGAATATCTAAAACAGTCGTTTTTGAACCTGTATTGTTTTAACGCTCTTGTGTGGTTTAGACGTGAGGACCCGGTCGATAATGGTTGTATATAGTTAGAGCTTTCAACATGAAGAGTGCCGTTAAGGATATTGAGCGGTAATCTGAATCTATCAATTTTCGCTCTCGTTTGCAACGGCCGAAGCTTCGCTCTTATAACTAATTCAGTGGACGATGTTTCTCTGCGCTAATCATTAAAAATAAACCAAGCAGCTAACTTTTGGATGCTTTCAAGCTTGTTAATCCCGTTTTGTGAGAAAGGGCACCCCACTGAACTAGCATATTCTAGCACAGGCCTAATAAAACTTTTATGAGCAATAAGTTTGGTGTCAAAATCAGAGAAGCTTAATTTCCTACGACACGCAAACAAAGTGTCCCTCGCTTTATTAACCGTTAATTCTAAGAGCTGGTTCCACCTCAGTTTATTGTTAAAAAGAAGTCCTAAATCCTCGGCCCACTTCACTGGTTGTCCATCAAGTAGGTAACTAAATTAAACTGGCTTTTTTTTCTTTCTTTTTTTTTTACAGGAGACTCTCATGACGGCTGTTTTTACATAATATAGCTTCATTTGCCATTTTTAGTCCAACGCAGTATCTCATCCAAAGCTTCATGCAGTGTAAAAGTGTCGGTGTGGCTTTTGATTGTTTTATATATAACACAGTCGTCAGCGAACAATCTAAGCGGGACATCAGTATTGGTTGGAATGTCATTAATGTAAAAAAAAAAGTGGCCCAAGCACGGAATTCTGGGGCACTCCTGAAGTAACCGGGCAGTTTGTCCGAATAAACTTTAATATAGAAACCATATTGGCTTCTGTCTGATAAATACGCGATTATCCAGTGAATAATTTGTGAGTTTTTCAGTATGTTGGAAAGTTTTGCCAGCAGCTTTGGATGAGACACCGTGTCAAACGCCTTAGAAAGATCTAAATATATTACATCAGTCTGGCCCCTCTCGTTAATGGCTTCAGCCATGTCATGCTAAGCTTCTATGAGCTATTGATTAAAAAACACAGTCAGTGAATATACGAGGAACGTTTCGTATTGCATGCTCATTTTTTCTGCGCGTAACCACGGTTTTCCAAGTAAAATTTTGTTTTACGCCACATCCTTCACTAAAAGGGCTGTAAAAATCATAATGAGTTCGCTCTTACGTGCTGTCAGCAAAGGCGATGCGTAGGTATTCTTTTTTTTTTCTTTTTTTTTAAATAAAAGTAAACCTTCTTTTGAGTACTTTGTTATACATGCGTCAGATACATAAATACCAAAACAATATCTTACCTTCAACGAAGCTGTTTAGCTGCCTATAAGATTACGCCGAACTCGAAAGGCTTGGCTGAACAAAACCATATTACGAATTCTAAACCAAACTTTTAGCGCAAACCCTGGTAGTGTTTAGGCAGCCGTACATGAATCTTACCGTGCTTCGCCACAATGATGCTTGATATTGCTTCCGGCATGCTCGTTCCCACGGCAAGCAGTGTGATTCCTGATATAGTGTCGGGAATACCAAACGTGTCCCCTGCATAAAGAGAGAAAACATCTCGTTTTACTCATCATTACGTGTGGACATCCTTGGCGCTTCCATCTCTACGATGGCTCATTCGAAGAGAAATTTATGATTTAGCTAAAAGGCGAACGTTACACATTGCGCCAGCACTGTAAATTGGCGGAACGTAGGGCTGTATAACACGAGGGCGCACGACACTAGAGTGCTTACGGGAGAACGCGCGATAGGAGAGCGCCGTGACATGAGAGAGCGTGACATTAGAGCGTGCGTCTCGAGAGCGCATGTGTGTATTAAGTTCTTCAAGCACATGTTTTCCAGGAGCCGAAATTTTGACACCAATGGGAGTCGCATTTCGAACGGTTGTTGTCATTTAATTTGATCAATACGAAAATTAATATGGGAGAAGTGGCACATGCATGTTGAACGCGGCGGTCTGCAGCCACGAGATTTTTTATTAGTTTGTTCGGGTTATCCAACCTACCTCAATATATTACCGCGCAGTTGTCATTGCTGCCGCTTATAGAATACTCTTCTTTTTTTTTAATTGGTCACTACTTTTGTTTTTTAAGACGATTCTACTTGTAATAAGTGAAAATAAATTGAGGTGGCGATGAGCATTTTTCAGGGAATAAACATTTTAGCTCTTTACTGAGACTAAGGCTACGGTAGCGTACCGTGCTCGCAGGTGTTAGATCTTTATCATGTTTAATTCTGGCAAACATGGGGAAAACGTCGAATTCAGAACGGGAAGTCAGTCCGTTCATTCTTATCATTAAATATGAACCTGCATATACATATTATCCAGTGCTGGCTGTCGCGTAACAGATAAGCCAATGCATAACAACCCAGTTACTACAAAAAAGGATTCGAAGCTTGAAAGTTCGGCCACGCGTGAAAAGGCGCGCTCTAATGACACGCGCTCTCGTATCGCTGCGCTCTCACATTTATATTTAAACATTTATACTGGCCCATGGGAGGCATACAGCAATTATGGTCCTTCTAGCAGATTTGGTGTTTCAAGCTAGTTGCTATTTAATATTGAGTAAAGAAACAGCCTGCTCGGAAGCCTTTTCCGGTTACCGACGTTTTGCTTAAACACCTTCTTGTGGCGCTCATTCACTTACCGAACGTCGACTGCCAGTCTAAGGTCCCGGGAAGTATTGCGCATGACCTGAACACATCACTGTATTTCACATTTTTGAATGATCTGCAGGAACTCATTCCATCTACGTCCAGCTGGCAAGCTCCCCTGAAACACTCCGCACCCTGGCTGGGTTTCTCAAGTAAGCCCGAAATCGGACTGTGTTGCTTAGTCTGCCGCTGAGTTCGTTTAACATCTTGAGTTATTTGACCTGATTTTAAAATCGCTCACGAATTAAACCTTCCATTTTTCTATACTCAGAAATGTCATGCCCGATTGTAATATGGCGGGCGCACCAATGACGGTGACCATCCACACGCTAACGTAGGAGAGCCCTCCGGTCCAGACGATGGCCATGAGAAAGGTAAGTGGAAACCAGGCACGCAGGTGGCTCTGTCGGCAGTCGGGGATGGTGAGCGCCATCAGGAGAAGACCGGGCCAGATCAACACCCAGATGATGCGGTACACGGCGCTTCCTTCAGGCACGGTCCAAACGTCGATTACCTGGCTTTCCAGTTTTCTCACTGAAAACGATAAAAATAATGGGCGAAGGAAGATTATGAACTCGTCCAAATGGCGTGTCTAAGGCCACTAAATATTTCTGGATTCGTTATTGTGTCTCGTAGCATGTGTTACATTTCAAACTAGCGCCCTCTATCTTTGCAATGATATTCACGGTTCCCGGCCACCATAAAACCGAGGCTAAATAAGAATAATCTCCCATTTCCGCCTGTTACAATTCATTAGAGCCCTACTATAAGTATCATTACTTTTGTTAGTTTGCATTCTTTTACCAATAAGCGTGACGTGAATCATATATTGCTCAAGGTTGAAAACGCGACAGTTTTTATTCTTACATTTGCACGTAGGCCCCCTCTAAGTTGCTATTTCTGCTCTGAATAAATCTGTGCGCCCAACGGATGACACTTCTCACAATACAGTTTTCTGCAAGCCATACAGTGTACAGAAAGAAACAAGCACCGAGAACGAACACGGCTTCACAAATACCAAACACAAAGATCCGTATTCACCTACGTCACCCACTTCAAGTGATCATGTCACAGACGGTAATCGTAAGCAGTCTAAGACTACTTTACCCAATGTACAGCTTATGTTTGTAGCGTAGCTATATCAAGAGTCAAAGAAGTTAGAGAAGCCCCTCTTGCGTGTTGCGAACACGGGTGAGAAAGTGAGGTAGTGAAGTGACTTGAAGTATCTTTGTGCAATCGTTGGAGTTTTTTTATTTCATTACTTAACTGTGATAGGTTCCTTCTAACCTCGACAAACCTGGCCAGAATGAGTTTTTAATGCGCCTCTAAAACTTACCATGACCACTCATTAGGAGCACTTCTTTCTCAGCTTCTGTAGAATCTTCGAGGCTGCTTGGACCAGAACTTTGGGGAGTTTCCATTGCTTCTTCGTCAAATAGGGGTTGTTTTCCGGATATTAGAGGAGAGCTCTCGTCTTTATCGAGTGGCGCAGGATTAATCTGCTTCAGGCGGCTTGAAAATTTCATCTTGCGAACCTAAAAGCCAAAGATGTATATTTAAATAAAGTATTTGCCCAGTCAGAATAAACATCGACACTTTTGCAAAGGTGGTGAGCAAATTTGTAATCCCTATATAAAAAAATGCATTGTTTCGTTGTTGCTTTCGATTGCTCCAAATTAAGTGTTACTTAACGGTGATTTATCGGCATTCATCTTTAGATAACTGAACATAAAATCACCTAGGAATGCTTTTTGTGCGAAAGGAAACTCTATGGCATTTATTGACGTGTATTATGGTACTCATAGAACGTCTAAAAAGTCCACATTCGCACTTGAGGAACACGAAAATGTAAGTGTTCCGAGTAGAAGGTATTTACGCCTTTTTATTCTCAAGCCTTATTTTTAGAACCACGAATTACTTGCGAAACATTTAAGTTAACAAACGTTTGTTCTAAGTTAAATTATCCGCCAAGAAATTACATTATTTCAATTGAGCAACACATCAAGCTAGGAAATGAAAAGCTTGTGATTTCTTTATGGTCCATGCTTTGTCGGTATTGAGCAATAAAAAAAAAAAAGCAAAGCCTAGATGGCACCACCAGAGCCAATAGAGAGTACAAAAACTTACTTTATTTTGCGACCACAGGGAAACCGAGGAGTTAAACGACATGAAGGTTATGTACATGATGAACATGATTAGCATAATTAGAGCTTCCCACCTGAAACCAAACGAAATGAGAAAGTAAATGGCATTTCAATTCAGACGCGGCATAGACGATTGTGTTCTGCACTGACCCCATCTATACTTGTTTTCACATCAAGAACCCTAATAAAACAAAAGTCCGGCTACTCGCGGAGTATTACTAAATTCCCCCTTTATGTGGATAACTAACATATATGTAGGTGCATTTTAGGTTAGATAAATGTTATCTTATCAAGACGTACCCATTTCAAACGCCAAAAGAATCGCTTCCTCCTTTGACAACCGAACCTTGTTCGAACTACTTCGCATAGCGCATGAATAATCCGCAAAACTTCCTTTCTTCTTAAAGCCCCCCCCCCCCTTTCCCGTTCCATTTAGACAGAGTTCACCACCGCGTGCTTGTATACACCAACTAAATTCTGCTTTGGCACGCCGCGGTGGTGTCACTTCGGGCACACTTCCGGTTTAGGAGTGTGACCGGAAGTCGCCATGCGAGACTGGCATTCCTGTGTTGTTATGAAAGAAACCAGACTAAAACCTGCCTTCTCGCCAAAACGCCGCGCCTGGGACTGTAGCAAAAGAGCTGGGAAGGTGTGAAGATCAGTTTTTCTGTGTTTTCCGTCTGCTCGGTTCGTCCGAGAACGTGGATAGGTGCCGTAAAAAGGGAAAACCAGATACCGTCGAACCACCAATGCTTGTGCTTGAAGCACTTCGATTTGACTTTACGTATACTTGTGGTCGTCAAATTTAGTTGTTTTGCTTCAACATGAACGCGGGAAAATCGTCAAGTTGTCCTGATTACCCGTGAATCAAGTTTGGTTCGTCTTCGTGTTAAAACGCCGTCTGATCGTTCGAACTGTCGTCTGTTCTTTCAAATGTATCTGCCTGTTCAAACTGTCGTCTGCTAAATCAAAAAACAGCGGCGCGTGGGCCAGGCGTCGGCCCAGTAATTGGGATAAAACGTAAGTGTGGGCCTCAAAAAATCTTTTAAGTTTCAAGGCTGTTGTTCTTTGGGATATGTATGGCTCAGTGTAAATAGTAGATACAAGAAAATGTTTACCATTGTATCAGTGGCCATTCCCGACTTGTTATGCCTGATTCACTTGATCCTCCGATCCTGCTCGTAATTTTTAGTATCGACGAGAAGCATCCCAGCTACCGTCTACGCTTCTGCAGCCCGCACGTCACAATATTTACGCGAAGTTTTGCCGTGTAAGGAACCTCATTAATTTCGCTAGGCCGCTAAAGTGGTCACATTGACGCCGGCAACGTCATATTTTAATGATTTGTTGAAGCGGGACGCGGCACTTCTTGCCCACACCCCATCCCACATGCGCGTTGACGGTGGCGCGCCGCTAAGGGGCGCTCCGGTTTGGTTGTAAACATGAGTTGGTTTTTAGAACGCGTAACAGGAACAAAAAGTTCTCTTATCACCGAATTTTTTTTACTGCGCATTTACGAATTGGAATGCAAAATTATTTGTGCGCTACAACACCACTCTTCCCTCAAGCGCATCCGTCGAGAGGGTATTCAGCGTCGCGGCAGATGTCTTCGTCAAGAAACGTGTGAAGATGACCTACGGGAACTTCAAACGACAACTGCTTTTGTAGCTTAACAAGGTGCGAATGACTAAAAGAAACAAAATATAACCACTTTGAACATACGTATGCATTTTTGATTTCGTAATAAAAAGTTAAAAAATGCAATATGAAAAGTAATCAATTACTTTCTGGTAATTTTTCAATTACTTACGTGATGCAGTAATTGATAACTCCAATCAGTTACATCTTTAAATAAAGTAATTGCAATTGTAATTGTTTTTTTTTTTCAGAAGCGCGGACAAGACTGCTTTTTCATAATTTCTGTTAATCATGGATGTCACTGTGCTCTTTGGAAGCATTAACGTATTGGATGCTGGACGCTTGTCAGACATCACCACCATGTTCAGCAAGCAAACTCGTAAGTTTATGAAAATACAGATCTGTGCGCCGGTGACTAGAAGTGAAAAGAGTGTCACCATAGCCTTCGAGATATCAGGTGACCTCAGAGTCCATGACATCGTACGCGCCGGTTATTTCTCTCACGTGTGCTAGTGTTCGGCGCCAATATTGAACCCGTACGGTTGCTTCATTAAACGTCTAATATATTTATGGGATGAGACGCCATATGGTTGATTAATAGATCGTCTTTAACATTTCTTGGGATACCCCCGTTATTTCTCGTAGTTTCTTTTAGAAAAATATGTAGTGCAGAGCCCACCACTTGACGCTGTTGTCCCAGATAAATATCACCAGGGTTAGAACTGTCGCGGCAAACATCAAGCAGTCTCTCGTCACGGGGTACCAGCTGATGTTCACTGTCTGCAAAAAGTATTATAAGGAACAAGAATTAAATGTCAGTAATGATGGTACATTTATTTTAATGGGCTATAAGTTTCTGGAAATATAGAACAAGGTTGAGATTTCCGTAAGCATGTCTGTCTGCCCATGCTAAACCAGTGTTGGCAGTAACGCGTTACGTTTTTCGGTAACGTAGTAACGTACTCGTTATTTTTTCAAAACAGTAGCGGGTAACGTACTTACGTTAGTTATTTCAAGTGACGTGTAACGTAGTTATGTTTCTCGTTGCTTCTTCCTAAAACTTAAGAATTACACTTTTTTCTGTTTTTGTCGTCAAGTCATGTGAATTTTTGTGATTTTTTGCGTTTTCTTTGTGTTTTTTCGCGAGAGTATTTTGGGTGAAACCATGAACAATATAAACTAATTATGTTCAGTTTCTGCATGAACATAATGTTTTTTTGTTTTGTTTTTAATATGGCGCTTATGCATAACTGTACCGTCAAAACAGTAAAACGTGTAAATTCATAATTTAAAAAGTAACGCAAAAGTAATGTGGGTTACTTCTTAACGGTAGCTGTAACGCGTTCCTTTCATTTTGAGGTAAGGTAGGTTAATACCGCGTTACTATTATTTACAAGCAACTAGTAACGTATTTTGTTACTTTTTTTTCTGTGACGCCTTCAACACTGCGCTAAACTAATATAACGAAACTTCATTTGAATCTACACTGATCTCTACTTCACTACTATTTTTTTTTCAAGACTTGTGTCACTTATTATTGAGTTTGACATCATAAATATCTTGTTCTTATCTGTTGTTGTTGTTGTTGTTTTTTTTTTAATTCGAGTGGTTATGATTTTAGTTTAAAATTTTCTGTACACAAAACGAAGAGTTATCAAATTTCAGAGGGCCCCCGCATTGGGATTTCATGTATCCGCACTGGCGATCCACGTCATCAATTATAGTGAACGGCTCTCAGCACGCCACCAGGTTAATCGCTCTCTGTTTCACCGAATTTGACGGTCACACGTAGTCGGATAGGAAGCTATCCAGTTGCATATCTTGCCGATAATTCGAAATCAAAAAAAGAAAATGTAAATATTACCTCGTGGCTACAGGTACTATTCGATTAACATGGTTGGGAAAACAAACTTCTCTAGAGTCGTCATAAAACACATTTATATTTTTATCACATGTAAACGAAAAGGAGGCTCACTTTTTTCCAGACGAGGACTCCAATGATTCCGGTGACTCCGACAATGTTGAAGACCGCCGACCCGACCACTGTGCTCACGCCAATGTCTCCTTCGCTGACGAAGGAACCTGGGTGATGTCACCGAGTGGTCAGTTCTGCGGCCCCAAGAATTGTGTCCCGCGGGATTTATGTATACGCCGTTCAACCCCTAAGCTGACATTGCAGTGAGAGCTATGTGCTCGCAGGACCAACCAATCTTTCGTAACCTGGCCCTGATTTCAGTGCGTTGATATGGGAGGGGGAGCGATCGCGGTGGAGAAAGATAGGCTTATGACTGGTCCAACGAGCACGTGGCTTCCACTGCACTGTCACGCTCTGAGAAATCTCGGCTGTCTACTTTCCAGCAAAGCACTTGGGAGAGTCGATGGCCGCCATCTATGGAGCGAGCGCGGGCAATGATGAAGATCGAAATATGTTTTGACCTAACAACAACCGTATGCGCAGAGGAACTGAACATGACGTTTAACCATCCCGCGGTGCCACATCGTGAACTGCTATATGAGGTATAAAATCGTATCATCAACATTGTCATTTAGCCAGCTCTCTTTGTAGACTGCGGCGACTGGCTCTGTGAAAGTTCTTTGCGGGAAAGTAAACGCTCCAGATTACTTAGAGTGTACCTTTGGAGCGAAAGGAATTTAGAAAGTTCCCAGGTGGGGCAAATTCATGTAACGCGCGTGAGAAAAAGGAGGTGACCTCTCGAAATTTTAGGCTGCAAAAACAATTCTCCTCATGGAGCGAACCCTATGTGGTTTGCAAAAGAAGAGGGGGTTAAGTAACCAGGACAGCCGGTGCTCTTGCAACAGAAATTGAACAAGAAGAAAATACCCGAAAAGAACTGTATGAATTCAATCATGGCATTGGCCTTGTGTATCTTATTTGTGTCTTGTTCATTTCAAAAACTTTTTTTTTTAATTTTGCGTTGAATGTATTGCAGAGTTACTACAAGTTAAAGCGACAGACTTACCGCTAAAACTATTTTCACTTCTGTGGGACATAGAACCGAGTCGGGAATCCAGACCTTCTATTCGCTGCCATCTTTGGAACGTATTCGGAACATCCAACATCTCTTCTGTGGCGCATGGTTGAAGTGTCATAAATAAACCTTGAGGACTCTTTGACAAGCTTATTTCTCGGTCCAATTAGTTTATTTGAGCTAAGTGCCCATCGGTCTTTATTACTTTATTAAAGACTCCGTGACACCTGTTACGTAAGCAATATTAATATGATAATATAGTCTCCAAAATTTGCAGGCCAGAAAAGTTATGCGACTGGGCTACAATGTCTGTTAAGCTCCAATATATGAACCTCTCTGGTTAGCCAAGAAGTGTCGAAAGAGAGACAAGTCAGGAGTGATACTCCTACGATCTAGCTCTTCTAAAATTCAAAAGTGACAAGAAAACCATTGCAGAACTTGTACTTTACTACAGGTAAAAAATAGCAGTAAAAGCACCTCCCACAAAGGTTTTCTTACTATGATTGGTCGTTTCCTTCTCTCACCTCTTATTCTTTTCAGTGTTCGCTCGGCTAAATCGGGTGGAGTTGAGGGTTTCGTAGAAGGACCTCGCCCAGCTATTTTTAACCTGCAACATGCTATAACATTGTCCAGCAGTCTTAGGCAGAAGTCGAGATTGCTGCCTACCAAAGACGGAGGAAAACAGCTCTGGTGCCGATGTTCCCATTGCCATGAACGTGGCTCCAGCGACGTCGGTGGGAACTTGGAAGTCTAAAAAAAAGAAAACGGCCCAAACTTGTAGTTTTGCAGCTGTAGCCATGAGACTGTTACTGTGCAGCTGTTACCGCGTAGTTTCATTATGAAACAATGATGAAGAGCTCAGGGGAAAAAATAGCGTGGGAGTTTGAGCCCGCGTCTGAGTTTTCTGTCTGTCTCCAAGTTAACTTGTTCCACACCCTATATGGCTCATTAGCCGCCTCAGTGGGGTTCAGGTATGATGCTGGTCTACGAATCCTCAGGTTGCGAGTCCCAATACCTGTCATGGTGCCTGAAATCTGACGAAGACATATTGTAGTTTATACACGGTGTAGCCGATATTTAAATAACACTTAAAACGTTCACAGTTCTTCAATGTAGCATGCAAGATGCAAGCAAAATTATTTGGCTTGGCATTTGAACCATCACGCACATACTTAGCAATAAGACCTCCACATACAATACAGCAAGATTATTTGGCTTGGCATTTTAATATCTGTGCACATACTTAACGATTTGTTTTATTGAGAGATGAATATTGCAGCGTTCAGAGCATAAACAGGTGCTTCCAAGTTCCCATGTACGATCACAAAACCTTCCCTTGACGATTGTCCATTGCAAAAGTGTTAAGAAAACATGTCTGTCGATGCTTCACAGGGTAACATCGATGACTGCATGTGAAAATCACTAACCCTTCATTTATTCATCAGACTACGGGCGATTATCTCCAAAACGACAGATGTTGGTTTATCTGTCCCATTAATTAGAGAAACCTTAAAAGTAATGCATCGTAACTTCGTCTAATTTAAGGCATTTACTTATGTTGGGTGTGGCCGTTTCGGAGTGTCTTATCATCACTTCGTAACAAGGCAGACTGCGACATTAACCGACAAGAACGAAGAACGGCGAATAAAGAAGCGAGAAACGTGAACGTTTAATAAGTCGTGCCCAACGTTTTTTAGACTGTCAGTGACTACACACACTGTTAGAGAGTTTTAGGGAACCGCTTTTGCACATCCGATAAGGTACGATGGGCCCTTTGGTACGAACTGCGCATGCGCTAATCTTGAGCGGTACCATATGCGCACTTCCTACCGGAGGGTCCATTGTACCGTATCGGATGTGCAAAAGCGGTTCCCTAAAACTTCCTATACGTTTACGTGCAAGGCGTGCCCTTGCGCGAAACGTCTTTGCAGCGACCGCAATGGGACAAGAATAGCTAAGGTTTTCATACTGTCGTGTACTATTATTGACCCCGCACTCGGAGAACTCGATAAGACAAGGATAACGCGATGCTCGAGGCGGCATCCCTGTGGCCCTAGCAACGTTCAGTCAGACCAGATATGAGGAGCCGAGTGAGTCGCTGATGTGGGCGTCTGGGGTTGTCTCAAAGACAACGGTCCACTTCAGATTAACTAGACGGCGGAAGCCACAAAGATATAACCAGCGCGCTTTTGTACGTTGCGCTAACGTCACTGTTATCTAGAGGGCAAGCTCAACTGTACTCACTGACTGCTCAAGAAACGCGAGGTGTTCCGTGTTCCTAGCACCTTCTTATCGTTCCACACGCATTGTCAATGTTTCACAAATCAATCAATCAATCAATCAACATGATTGCGGCATTAGCTGCAAGTAACCCCAAATAATATATCTTAAAGCTAGAAGCGAGAGCGTAATAAGCGACGCCCGGTGTTTCCTAAGCTGCCAGTCATTATACGTCGTAGCTTCCTGCGCTTCATGTGATTTGTCTGTTTCGATCAAAAATATTTATCCATGAAATTATTATTTAAATCTCAGAAAAAATCCCCATCAACCTATCTTGAAAGTTCAATGGTCGCAAAGGTGTACCGTAAAGCCCCACTAATAGTACGAGCTTTTCCGTGCACCTATACTTTCCTGTGGGGCGCTCAGAGGGCAATCATTGTCACGTAGGGCAGGAGAGCAGGGAATGAGGAGAAACTGATGATGTTCTAGTTCAAAAACTCAGTTTGTACGGGGATTTAATTATTATCGGCGCCTCGCGATTCGCTGGCCTCTTTCCATTAATGATAGTGATTGGCTGTTTCCACGATTCTCCTGCCAAGTAGACGCGCTGGCTTTGGTACAGAAAAGAAAGTTTGCACTATCGTAGGACCTCACGCTAGATCCTTTCGCGGAATACATAATTTCGAGCAAACTAGCGAGCTTCCACACCGTACCCTTTCCAAATATTCAAGCAAGTCTACTGTTGACCAGGACTCGGTCAATATAACTTTAAAGTTGGGCTTACGAATTTCTTAACAAATTGAAGCTCGGAAAACCATGTCGGAGTCCGAAGCGAGGGTTCTGCTTAGATGTATAATTTTACAGCTCACATCGTCCAGAGGTAGGACAATTTCAGAGTTTCAGGTATTTCCGGTGTACTCACAGTCGGCCATGACTTCCAGGGACGGGACGAAGTACTTTTGGCAGACAGTGGCCAGGAGCGCCAAGGCGTAGAGCGTCCCCACGATGTGCACCGCCACCCATCCTTGTTGACGTTGCTCTGCCGTGAACAGGTCGCCCGGAAACTCCTTGCTTTGGAGTTCGATGCAGCCCCGCATCTCAACTTGAGCTGGGGCTGTGCCGAAAACGTATAGAACCTTTTTTCAAGGGCGCCGGCATCTTGAATTGTCGTCACTTCCAGTATGGGCGAAAACATTGTTTTGCCGTCGCCACGCCAGTAGAGGACACTTAGGATATAAGCGTAACCGTGAGACATTATCATTTTGCCTCTCACTTATTGTTTTATTAGTTGCAGGTTGAAACGTTTTAGCATTTTTCGTCACCCATACCGGATACGCCTACTAGGTGGCTGGGGACGAGGGTACACAGAAAAGGTGTATAGCTACGAGTTAGTGGCACAGTTGTGTGAAGCACCTGGTAAAACAAGTTCACTTCATTCCACTTCTTATTATGGTACTTGTCACTAGCCTTCCTTGTTAGATTCAACATTGGGAGGACACCGTATTAGTAAACTTTGCTATGTGCTTGGTTCACACGGCGGGAATTGTTATTCAGCCCCAATGGTCTTCTGATGTCTCTGTTGTAGATGAGAAATTTGTGCAGTGAAGTACGTCTGGCATCCTGGGGTATTTAGCGTGCATCGCGCCATAATCATACACGACCGCATGCCGGCATCCGATGCTCATTCAGATCGAAACGGGCAAGGGCGGGGATTGAACACAGAATCCCTGTATTTTATAAAGCGCTCGAGCTTTCGCTTCACGGGTTCCCAGCTCCGGTGCGCTCACACAAAAGGCAACCGCAGTTGTGTCCATAGGTAATCAGCTATATCTTTCCTGGTAAAAACATCGTCTCACTTCTGAGGTAACACCTGGTGTCTTATAGTTTGCGACCTGGAGATATATAACGTCTCGTTTGTTTAACTCTAGGCGCGTTCCTTCAGGGACGCGCAACCAGACACTCGAGATAAGCGCGGCGGTATAGTTACATCATCGAGCGAAAAAAGGTGAGCGGCGAGCAGACGGCCTCTAATCATGGGCATAATCGTTTCAACGTTAGCCTATACTGACGTTGAGCGTTACTATCGAGTTGGAACAGGGCAGGAGAGGTACCGCAAAGAAATAAAGCGTTGCCGGACGCAGAAAAAAAAAAGCGATATAAAGAAAACAGCAAACGCCACTGACAGCTTAAGAAGTTCCGAGCGTGGAGAGTCCCGAGCATAATATTGTCGCTCAAGCGAGACTGTGACAATAGAGTGTTTCAGGGAACCGTTTTTGCACATCCGATAGGGTACGATGGGCCTTCCGGAACGAACTGCGCATGGGCTACCGGATCAGACTCGCACATGCCTAGTTCGTACCGGAGGGCGCATCGTACCATATGGGATGCCCAAACACGGTTCTCTAAAACTCTCTAATGCTATGAAGGCTCAATTACACTCGAACGTTGAGCGCAGCGAACGCAGCGTAGCGTACCACACGCAGCTTTCACTGGACTGCGATCACAAGCTCGTGATATATGAACAATCATGCACCTGCGCGCGCTCCTGTAGCGCGACGGGCGCAAGCGCGCGCCTGCGCTACGTTGGAGGCATGCGGCGACCTTTCGTTGGCATTACATGTCACGTTTTAGTCCCTTTCATTCCACATGTGACGTCACGTTTCACGTGAGCATTGTTGGCTGTTTGAAATTCCCGCGTGAGGTCATACGTCTGTGACGTCATGACCCTATGACCAATCAAGATTTTCCCGTCCCACCGACGCCGACGCCGGCTTTTCTGCGACACGTGATTCTCAAATTTATCGCTTTAAAACTCTAGGGAGAGCCTACATTTCAGAGAGGGAGGCAGCTCAGACCAATAGTGTGTTTGTAATTTAATGGCGGACAACCTCCTGCGCATAATGGTTGCTGGTCAGCACGCGTGTCGGTGACTCCTAGCGTGCAGAGCGGGCAAAGAGATAGAGCCGAGCTTGGAGAAGCTTGCAAACAATTGACGCCTTCGCCAACTCCTCGTAGCTTGAATATAAACGTGGTCCAGAAACCACGTGACCCCGATTGAGCTGTTGGAAACACGGATATTTTTAGGCACAGCGTAAAACTTTACTGCTGGATGCATCAGGCAGTACCGTCATTCGCTGCCGTTCTTGGCACTCTGTGGCCTCGGCAGCTTTTCCGCCATTCAATTGAAAGCTATCAATTAACTAACCAATCAATCCGTCGTTCATCGCAAGCCAAAGTAACCTATGGTTGTGATTATATAGCAGAAAGGCGACGCAAGTCGCTTTCTAAAACTCCATGGCTTATCTACTATGTGCGCATAGTATTATTCTGCCACCGGCTCTGGAGACCAGCTCAACTCTCTGACGTTACGCCACTGCGGTGGCACTGCTGTCGTCGGCTCTGCGCATGCGCAAATGATTCGCCTCACGCAAAATCTGGTTTCTGCGCACGCGCACTGCCCACACCCCGTGTCGGTAACCGCGGTCTTGTTTGTAAACAGTGTGCTGATCGATAGTTCCCGACAACTTAAGTAACAAAGGGCGCGGCGTGTTCTGACCATATCATTACCGCTCTGCAGCCAATCAAAACTCGGCGCTAACCAATAACAAAAACTTAAATTCTTTTTTTTTTTAATATATTACGAGTTTGTGAAGCGCCGGGACGCTACCTTCGTGTACAACCCAGGTAACGAGCGTTGGTCTACGTGACAATTCTAGGGCGATAAGTTTTGGCTAGAAACTTTCAGCCGCTTATCATATCTGCGACCCATAAACACAGGCGAATGCATTTTCTTTTTTAATTTTTTTGCTCCAGAAACAAAGTTTTCAGCTTGCCTGTAGATAAAGCAACAATAATGTCTGCCTCATAACATGCTTATCGTGTCCCCAAATTATCGCTTTCTCTGCTTTGTCTTAGACGAGAAACTTACAGGTTATAAAACGTGCAGTCGAACTTAGTTCTATAGGAGGATACCCCCGATGTTTTTGCTTCTTAGATTACAATAAATGCATATTCTTCTTGGTTCTCGGGAGTTTGGAAACATCAGTAGAAACGAATACTGTATTTGTTTTAATGCATTAAATGCTTTCTAGCGCTACACCCTCATTCGCAAAGTGTATTCCGTCCGTCCGTCGGTTCGTGCATTTCCCGCAAAATTTGGCATGGAAATTGGTTTCACGTGACCTATCCACAAGTTTAGTTTCCTCGCTAAATTTAGCGAAAAATTTTATGTCACGTCACGTGGCGACAGGGAGGTACAGACCAAATAGGTTTTCCCGCTAAAAAAATTTCCTTTCCCCGCTATATTTGGCGGGAAAATTGATGACACATGTGACGTGACCCATACACCAATTCAGTTTCCCAGCTAAGTTTGGCGGGAAAATTGATGTCACGTGACCTGTACAACAATACAGTTCGCCTACTAAATTTGGCGTGAAAATTGATGTCACGTGACCCATACACCAATTCAGTTTCCCAGCTAGGTTTGGCGGAAAAATTTGTGTCACATGACCTGTACACCAATACAGTTCGCCTACTAAATTTGGCGGGAAAATTGATGTCACGTGACCCATACACCAATTCAGTTTCCCAGCTAGGTTTGGCGGAAAAATTGATGTCACATGACCTGCACACCAATACAGTTCGCCTACTAAATTTGGCGAGAAAATTGATGTGCCGTGACCCATACACCAATTCAGCTTCCCAGCTAGGTTTGGCGGAAAAATTGATGTCACATGACCTGTACACCAATACAGTTCGCCTACTAAATTTGGCGGGAAAATTGATGTCACGTGACCTATACACCAATTCAATTTCCCAGCTAGTTTTGGCGGAAAAATTGATGTCACATGACCTGTACACCAATATAGTTCGCCTACTAAATTTGGCGGGAAAATTGATGTCACGTGACCTGTACACCGATTCTGTTTCCCCGTTAAATACGGCAGAAAAATCTGATTTACGTGACCTATACATAGTGTTTCGTGTCTTCGGAGTTTATCTTAAGTCAAATTCGGATGGTGTTTTTCGGAGTTTATTTTTTGCCGGAAAGTCTGACTTTATCGGAGTTTATTTTTGTTTGATTCCCAATTCTCCGAAATTCGGAGATTAATTCCGCAGTGTTTCTTATTAAAAATAAGTAAATAATATCCGGTTGTAAACGTATGCTGGACCGAAAAAAAACGCGATTCTATCAATTAGTATTTTCTTTGGTTGTATTTGGCGTTTGGTGCCATTACTACTGGCAATACTAATTTGTCCTACGACGAAAGTTGCACACAAGTGTTGCTTCGATAAATGTCGATGCCTTAAAATTAATAAACTCCTGGATGCGGTCGCTGGGAAGCTTGTATTCATTCCATATTATTCCATCAACCTACAGCGCGGCCGCGCGAGGTAGGTTGGTAAAGGATGTATAATAGGAGAAGTTTCAACTGACATTCTTCCCGCTTCATGGAATTTCCATGGTCCGTAGCTTGCACTGTTACAAAAACACAACCTCTCCTTCCTCCAAAGCACAAACAGTATGACCCAAACTGGAAATATAAGCAGTGATTTTTGACGTGACTTGAAAGTACAATGACCTGTTGTCCCGACCGAAATTTGAAACATAAATGTGGTTGCATTTTGCGGCTGCGGCGGCGCACGGGTCTACCCGTGACCAGTGGCGGCTGGGGTACTCCGGCGATTTTTTCCTGGTCGCTGATTTGCGACAAACTAGGCTTAACAGAACGATGGACACTGCTGTACCAGTTCCCCAAATATTGTTGGGGAAAAACACATTTAGTGAAGTTATTTAATTTTCAAATTTCATTTTCATCGTGTTTCTCAAACTGGGAGCCCCCGCTGGCAACATTGGAGTGTGACGTCAGAAATGGTCCAATGTGGGCAGTAAGCCACGTTCCCCACTGGTTACAAGACGTTTGATGGTGGGAAAAGAATGCTTGGTATCTGATTCACTGAGAAGCACGCAAGAAACCGCTCGAAATACTCTGTTTAAGACCACCTGCGCGACCTGACAGTCTGTACCATTTGAGACGTCACACCACTGGATAGCGCGTGGAAATTTGAATATTGGTTTTGGCATCAGCTTTATTTAAGGTTTTCTCGATTGCTGCTTTGAATTTCAAGAAAATAAATAGCATACCGTGAAGACTAAAGTCCGGGTAGTCAGAAAATGCAAGTTGTTTGGGTAGCTCAAAAAACAGCCGAAGTATTTGTGGAAAGCGCGTTCCCAAGATGTTTTTACACGGCAAACAACCATCGGGAACGCGGTCAACAAACCAGGAATACCTGCGCGGCACATGGTTTTTACGTCATGACGGACAAGTCCACAGGTCCGCGCACCTACGGCGTTGAATCCGCACGTTTACTGTGGTTGGGTCCCAATTCGTTGCTTCTGTGCCTGTTATGGCTTATATGTCGACACCGTTATATAAGATGGGGTACTAGTTCTTCTAAAAACGGTGCAATGTCCATCGCGTTCGCACTTTAGCCCAGCCCGTGTTTCGCCCGCGTTTCACAGGGGTAATGCTATTCCCTAAGGATCAACCAATGGATCTTTCTTTAATTTTTTGTGCATTGTATTGTACATTCACAGTCCTCTATATAACGTTCATAAGAAGGTAAAGATAGGAATTCTTGATCTTACGTATAATATTTGCATCTTGATATTGGGACATCTAGTCTTTTTTTTCTTTTTTTATAACGATGATCACAAGTGTGACGCAGCGAACATTTTCATTCTTACCTATTTAGAGTATCATTTGCGATATTTTTCTTAGACGCATCATCGGGTTCTGAATACGGCATTGCAAGATTTCTGCACACTTAGGACAAACAATTGTTGTATATGGGCACAAAAATAAAAAGATGATGATTATGATGATGATGAAGTTTTCTATTTTTTAATTTCTGTGAGGCTTTCTAAGTTTGTTCGAGAAGACATGGCGTTAAGGTAACTCCAAAAAAAATATTCAGTTATGTATTTTTTAAACGTCAACACTACAGCAATTTTTACTCCGCCCCTGACCCTCATGACAAGAACATACACCTCCATCTTCCTCCTCTTCAATAAGTGCAAAAATCAACGTAGAAAACGTTTTCTGGCTATATGTTTTGAAGAAAAAGCAGACGGTAAAACAAGTATAGCTTCATCGTCTTTGTAGTCTATGCCTCATTAACTTCATTAATGATTCACTAACTCAGACGGCTACGTAACCCTTCGGTGCCAGAATCCTTTCCTAAGAGATCCAGGCTCTTGATATACCGGCAAAACTACAACACAATCGTTCAGTTGCAACACAATGCTAAAAAGCTATGATCATACAACAGCTACGGCAACAAATAGCTCGTTGTAGATAGGACTGCAACCGACCGCTTGCGGTCGTAACTTACAGCATTGCGAGACGGGGAGCACCACTACCAGGACACCGAGTACCAGAAGAATCTTCTGCCTTCGCCAGCCGTCTCCCAGGGTCGGAGGCCGACCACGGGATGCCGTCGTCAGGACATGGTTCGGGGTCGTTGAGGTATCCAGATTTGTAAACAGGAAGGCGTGGCCCTGAGCAGCTTTGTAAGGTCTAACCGAAGACGGCTAAACAACGTTGACAAGTTCGATGTCACGGGCTCTAGCGCTCCTTACTCGCTAAGTCTCTCTCGGCGTTCTTTGGCGGTTCCTATTGTAACCAGGCGATATCGGCGTCTCCACCCAGGGCGGGCGGTTTGCGAACTTCGCTGGGAAAACGCGTTATCGCTTCGAAGTCATAGCAACATGTAATCTGTTCGAGGCCCTCTTGCGGTTCGGTGCACAGAGAGGTCCGCCGTCCGGTGCTGTGACTGATTAGCGCTGGACGATTTTACGCGAACAATGAGTGGGCGTTAGGCCGCACGCGAAGCTGTGTTTTATCCGGGTAGGAAGACCAACAAAGATGTTTTGTCTTTCTTCTAGGCGAATGGGACGCCAAAGCTCGCTACTGATCATACAGTGCTTCGGTGCATTCTTCGTGCTTATCTTGATCAGGAAGGTTGTCGGGTGTAAAAAACTCCAAACTATGCTTCTATTGCCTTTTGTTCTATTGTTTACGTGAGATTTATAAAAATGCAGTACAAAAATCTGCATCTTTAATCTTATTTTTTGTTAGGGCGGGAGAGGGGAGGGGGTGACAGACAGATTGGGGGATTGCAATTACGTTTTAAGCAGCACAGGCTATTCACAAATATTCAGGTGAAGATTTTTCGAAATGATCATTGAACTTGCCTCTAGAGAATTAGCGTATCTATTTATTCTAATAATGTCTGTTAAGTCAGAAGAACCTGCAACCCTTATCATAGGATTTCTTATTTCTCCTGCTGGTTACAGTGTTTCATTATAAATATCTTTGACATGTTCATTACGAGGCACAATAATGTGCGGTGCAAGTATGCTGAACAAACAGTATTTCATCATGGCCCCACCTTTGTGGCAGAATGAGCAGAGTCTTTCCTGGAGCGATGCTGTCCTTAGCATTTCCACGCCAAGTGACTCTATCCTAGCAACTGAAGTACTAAGCTCCATATCCCCTTGCAGTTCTGTTACACTGCAGAAAACTATTGATTCTAGGCTCAACTCGCGCGATCATAAGTGCACTCGTACTGAAACGCGACTGAGCCCAATCTTTGGCTTGGTTCCGTCATTATGTCTTCCATCGAAAGAGTGAAGCCCTCCAGTAACTAAAACATCGCGGCGAAGGTATACCTCAGGAGGTCCGAGACCGAATATTCTTGGGGGTCGCCTTCTAACGTCTTAGTCTAGGCACGGACACCCTTTGAAGTATACTTTTTTTTGTCCATGGGTTTAGGGACTACTTTCTATTGTGCTATGGTCACAAAACAGTCTTTCAAACATCTTGAAAATGAACCAGTACATTCTAAGAAAAGATGTGCGAGTTCAGTATCCTGCAGAACAGGAGACAACGAATCATGACGAACAATACATCCCGGTAAATGACAAATGTGAGAATGCGACTAAACTAACAAAAAAAAACAATCTAATGCGTACAGGGACAGTGAGTATAACGTTTCACTTGCCCATTTTCCTTTCGCACATCGCATCTTTCTATAATCGTATTCTGAGCTTCGAGATTCATAGGGATCCTTCGACTGTTGGCCGTGATTGGCACTTTCCATGTTCTGCAGGAAAATGAACACCCGGACATTTTAGGGTGTAGCTTGAAGAAGAATGGAGTGTCTGTTTTGAGAGTAGTTTTGAAGATGGCTGTTTTAAGGGGGCCCCTACTTCAAGTATTATGTTCTGGTGAAAAACGATATAATCTGCAATAAATAGCTTCTTTCAAAGTATGTCCCTTTAGAAACTTATATTTTGCCCAGGATATGCTAAGGAGTAACAAAGATTGCTAGCGAAGAATGGTTTGCGAGTAAATCCTGGAAGAATGAAATCAACTGAGGCGAAACAACTATCATGTCTGGAGTTAAAAAAAACAATTCGAAATTATTACAAATTTTGTAAGTAGGGGATAACTTTGTAAAGCGCAGAGGAGATAACAACTTGTTATCGCTGTTGTCCTGTCGATCTTTGTCACACTCCCGGAGACAGAACGGGCCAATAACTGACCAAGGATTGTTTGTTAGTCAAGGGTCAGTTTGCTATCGATAAGTAAAGATCGTAGCCGCGATTGAAGCATTTTCAAAAGCTGTTAACCTCAGAAACTAGAACGTATAAACCTGTGAACAATCCGAGCGCCGGAACGTACGCAATGCGAATACTGGAGCAAAATACGCCATGTATTTATTTTTAAAAAACAGTATACGTCACAAAACGTAGTAAATGCTTTCACCAGTTAATGAATTCTGAAAAATTATCATATCAAATCACGTGGCCTCTGGTTCACATATTTGCGGCAAAACGAAACAAACTAGTGCGAAATTTCGAGAGTCTTTTAAAAGAAACAGGCGCGGCAAAACAAACAAATAAAAGTCATTCAGCAATTCTTCTGGAAATTTTCAAACTTTTTTCATGTGACTTGGACGAATTTTCTACGGAGTGTCCCCAAAAATTCATTTACTCCGATATACTTATTAAAGCTTCCTGTTCCGCACACTTTCCAAATGGAGCAAGAAAAGCCGCATCAATTATGTACGACAATGCTATATCGAAGCACATAATGTTTTATAACTGGATAATCTAAAATAAACTGGTTATTTGGGCTAGTTTGATGTACTTAATTTTTAACATAATACGCCACAGAAACGAAAACGAAGCAAAAGACCATCTACCCCCAAGTATTGTTCCGCCTTTCCGTCCGTCTGCGTGTGTACCTATGGCAGGGCATGTCGGCAGAACCGGTCTGGTTACCATGGCAATTTTAGAAAAACAATGCACACGAGCACTTATTAAGAAGTAAACCTTCCCTCACTAGGAACTGAACCCAAAACTTCTCGGTCCGCAGCCCGAAGATCTATATCTGAACCAGCCGTACGACTTCTATATACACCGGTTACGGCATATGCCCTGCCTCTCATACTAAAGCTACCACATGCCGAATCTCTTCCTAGTTAATAGCTATGTTGTTAAAAGGGGTGATAGCAATCAGAAACAGTATGTTAGTCTTCAATCCCCAAAATAAATGTTCAGTGTTATTTTTTTTTATTAGTTAAGCAATCACTTTTTAGCCCGTTCTACTAACTTTCAAGATGAAAGTCACTGCCAATTTGTTCCGCTTCAGCGCTGTTGCGAATCACCGTCCACCTATTTCAAATGTAAATGCAAGCTGACTTCTGATGGGCTAGTAATCATGAAGAACAGTGGGTCCAGCAGCGATAAACAGACTAAATACAATAGAAAGTGCTAAAACAATAATGTATTGTGTGTTATCTCGCCAGTCGGTCTAAAGGACAGACTATAATAGGCACGATCACTCAAATGTCTTCTGAAAACCACACTTGTTTTCTCGCTTGTTTCCTTTTCTTTTTTGGACGCTAGATGAGCGTTAAATAATCTGCAATGAAGCTACTATCTCTCAGCGGTCATTTCGAATATCGAATGTGTTTTATTTTTAGCCCAAATATTAATATAGCCACGGAGCTTTAACGCCTCCTATTTTAACACTGCATTTGCAAGCATGTGACTGCACCGTTAAACTATTCGGAAAATAGTATTGAACGTACTGAGACATAATGAAAGGTTAATTGTTTATCTAATAACATGTGACGATGTTTTTGTTTAAATACATTGACCCAACTACAGGGCGCTGTATTAAGCCGCACTGTTTTAATTGCATTAGAATTATTGCAGTATACTAAAATCAAGCGTCTATTCCATCATTTATTATTGTGTAAAGTATATTAAAAGGCTGTTTGAGTTCCACGTGATTGGGAAATAAAACATTCAGAGGATACAAAATGAAGACCTCTCGACTCCTTCTAGCAGGCTAGTTACGATGACTTGTTACAACAAAGGTGAACTAGAAATACAGGTATGTATGCAGAAAAAAAACAGTTGTCTTGGTTTATTCTTTGTAAGCAACAAACCACGTTGAAAACAAAAAAAAAATACCACGCCTGATGTATCGGTGGCTGCAGCTTCGCAACACCCTTTCATCTTCAGTTTTCGTGAATGTTTTATTGCTGATTTTTTTAAGTTCATTTTTCTCCCAAAACGACTCCGTGGTTCATTTTGGCCAAAGACGAGGTCCGCGTAACTCTACCGACTGGTATTCGCTACCTCACCGCAGTAATTTCTCCAGGCTGTACGAGAAGTCCTCACGATAGTCCAGATACATGGTGGCGGCACTTGCAGTTAGAGATAGCGAAATACAGGTGCTGTGCGCTAATGAAAATTAGCTTCCTGCACTTCTAGCAATAAGGCACGTCCGAGTACCGCCCTTGAACATCGGTCAAGGTTAATTCTGTGCCGGCGCGATTTATCACCCCTTTTTGTCAGTTAGGAATCGATAAATTCCATTGCCATGTGCTGCACTAAACAGACCTTCATAAAAGTAAGCGAAGCTAACAGATAATTGAGTTTTAGGTCGTCATAGCAGCGATATGATCGCCTCTTTGCCAGTTCTCGCGTGATACAAAACTGCCTGGAGCTTAGCTGGTTGGTATGACATGATTCTGAAGGTTTCCAGCTAAACGCAGAGGGAAAAACCAAGGAGTGGAGAAAAAAAGACACACACTGCTGGACTATCAACCATTTACTGAAATTCTTGTTTTTCTTTTTCATCTACCCTCATGAATTATACTCTTTACTGGAATTCTTCTTTTTCATCAACCCTCATGAATTATACTCTTTACTGGAATTCTTCTTTTTCATCTACTCTCATGAATTATACTATTGAGTTCCCAGGGGTAACTTCTTCTTCTTCGGTATGATACTTGGTGGATAGCGTTTACATGTTCCTCACTTGGTTTCTCACTTGGGGCGCTCCCAGAAGATACAGTTTTTCTTTCGGATTTAGCGTAATGGAGGCGGCACTCACCCAGTCATCCCCATGTGCCTCAATTGCCAGAGATTCCAGGATTTCCCTTGCAAGATGATTTTTGTGTTTTCCAACGATGGTAATGTTTTCTAAATCAGGAGCACATTGGCATACT